CATCAAAGGGCAGCCTCTTCCCATTATCCACATACTCGTACGTATACCATCGGCCCATACTCATCTACACCCGCATACTCACGTAGCCACAATTAACGTGTAACACTCACTGAAACGCTTCTACCCTTGACCAAATATAATTAAAATAGTTCACAAGTGTGACTTTTTGTTGTTGATCTTCAGCCTACATAATGTCTTGATCACGCTGTTCTTGTGCTATTCGGAGATCTTGTTGACGATTCTCTCGAGCAATCGATGTATCATTGTTGTACTGTATGATAGTAGGGTGGATGTGGGTGTGGGTGTGGATGTTGATTCAACGAAGAGACGCAACCACACCCACCCACACCCCACACCCACACTCACCCATACCCACCCACACCCACACCTCACACCCACACCCATTTTAATCGAATACAATTTCTATGACGAAAAGAATATGAAATCGCAAATCAAAAGGTTGTAGCACTACGAAGAGAAGCAGTTATCATCGTTTCGTTTATATGCAACCACACCATGTATCTTCGAATTCTGTGTCTAGTCGATATTCTCCAACTTTTGTATCATTCTCTTCATCTACCACTATGACCCATCTTAATATTTGTGCTGGATCTTTAATACAGAATTCATCTCTATCATCATTTTCGTGATTGTAGTAGACCGTATCATAATTTTTCCACCATGCCTTTGAATTTCGAACTGTATCTATTTGATTAACTGTTATCTGTTTGACACGACCCATTCTAATTTCGGCACATATCAAAGCTCCAGCATTTCTTGCTTTTCCTTTTGTGTGCTCAATCGAGCGTGCGAAATAAACGCCAAATCCAAGCATTTGTGGTGGCGTCATTGAGGGATGAAAGTCGCTATGCGCAATAGATATGGCAAATTCTGCTTTTGTACGATGAAAACCAACATAATTTGCTGCTTCACTTGGTGGTAATAGTCCCCAACGTTCTTGCGGTTTATAATCATCTAAATGGAATATGATCAAATGTTCTAAGTTTCGATTTCGACATTTAACATCTGGACTCATTGTATCACATGGTTTATTTCCCATGTGCATATCGTTTCGATTATTACCAACAAGATGATATGGAATATATCGAATATGTTTTTTGGACATAGTACTCCGAGGTAATGTGTCACATGAAGGTCGATAATGCCACCAAACACGATATTGATAGAAATCAAGAGATATCGATGACAGTGGGAAAATTATTGAGAATGCACAAGCAAATGCTAACGTTGCTTTCGATGCTGTGTTGGTTTTTGATGTTGCATATAAAATGATGGCCAGTACTCTGAGAAGAATAGCGAATAATAACAAAGCTAGCCGAACAAGAAAACGTAAACGTGGTCTTGGAATATAACATGGACAATTACAATTGAGCGCAACAAAACGATTCATTGGTCGACTGCATAAAAGGAAAACGGCACAACCCACTGTAACACTACTATCATCCGATGATCGTACTCGATTTTTATTGCTACAACATAAGTGAACCAACGTTCTCAGCGCAAATATAGCGAGAATAAATGCAATTATAAGACCAATCAATGTTGGTGCTAACGAGCCAATCCAATCGAGTATGAAACCAGTAATCATGATTGCATCAGGATATTCATTTTTGTAAGGTGAAGCTAACAAAGGAAAAAACACTGACAGGCGAATTATACCAACAATAAGTTCGCCAATAGAGAGCAGAATATACCATGTTGGTAGTCTTTTGTAACAGAAGGAACAGCAGCACATTTTCGTACTCCGCTGGATAAAAGTAAAAGAATAAAATAAAAATATCACACAGTAATAAAAAG